CTGTTTTGATTTAATAATTGTACTCAGTCATGCTATGTTTTATAGATTTCATAACTCAGTCTTATTTAACCTAATTTGATGCATAAATGATATTTCGACTGAGCATCCAGTTTTACTGTAGCCCAAGTGGCTTGAGAGGTTTTTGACTGAGTGAGGTCGAGGTCCTGTGTTGTGAGGATATCATGGGATCGGACTACGCGCCGCAATATGTTGTACTGATTTGTGATATATGAGAGGTCGAGGGCCTGATTTATTATGCCACAAGGTGGCTTATTATGTGAGGCCGAGGGCTTGAATGATTATGCCACGAGATAACTTGTTATAGCGCTTGGGCTGTAGAAGCCCATCCGGAGTCTGAACACCCCCAGTGAGCGCGGGTACCCGGTGTGAGTGATGTGATGTGGGCCGAGGGGCTATTTTCTATTTATGTTGTTGCCCGAGGGGCTGATTACGAGTGATTGTGAGGTAGCCCGAGGGGCTGGTTCTGTTGATATTTTGCCCGATGGGTGGTTTATGATTTATTTTACCCGAAGGGCTGATATGGGTGAGTTTTTGCCTAAGGGGCCGACTATGTTTTCATCATTTCTACTCACTGTTTCATCACTTGTTTGAAAACCGCTTAAAGATGTTTTAAATGGATTTTTACACATCTTCAAATGATTTTCTACCGAAAACTAAATTTTAACGAAATGATTTTATATATATACTATTTTGGAAACACATTACTAAGGTGTTATGACATGGATTATGTATTTTCTTGCTTCTCAGTCTTTATTTACTCTTATTACTTACTATGTTGGCGTACTTACATTATCCCCTACACCTTGTGTGCAGATTCAGGTATTTATGAACCCGATAGCGGGTGTTGATTACTTAGTGGCAGGTTCGTCGAAGTTAGCAAGGTAGTTGTCCGACATTTGCATCCCTGCTCTTCTCCCTCTTATCTTTCTTAGACTATTTTTAGTATATTTTCAGACTCTTCATTATATTTAAACCTTATTAGATGCTCGTAACTTGTGACACCCCGATGTCGGGCTTGTGTTATTTTCTTCCGTACTGGTTATTTAGACTTATGGATATTCTGTTAACTTAATAGCTTAAAATGACTTTTATGAAATACTGGTTTGATTTGGGATTCGTGTTGGCTGGCCTAGTTTCATAATAGGCGCCATCACGACTAGGTCGGTGTTAGGGTCGTGATAAGTTGGTATGAGAGCCTAGGTTACATAGATCTCACAAGTCATGAGCAGGTTTAGTAGAGTCTCGCGGATCAATACAGAGATGTCTGTACTTATCTTCGAGAGGCTGCATAACCTTTAGGAAATCTCACATTCTTGAATTCTTATCATGCGTCATTGATTCAGCCTTAAATGTAACTCTTGAAATTCCTTCCATGCTTTTGTATGCGCGCATGAGCGCTCGGTATCAGTTGTGCGTAGACGGCTTGCGATTCCCTTATCAAGGGGCGAGATGTGATTTTTGTGTGTTGATGTTGGGCCAGTCTGGAGGACTTGAGGCCGGGTTTTGCTTGTAGCTTGAGCATTGAGGTGTTGATTGTGTGAGCACGTGCTTTTGAATTTATATGTTCGGTAATGTCCCTATTAGTGGAAGTGATGACTGGATGGCTATGTGATGAGTATGATGTGACTGTGAGATGTGTTCATATAATTTGAATGTGACGAGAAGGGTCTGCTTGAGGATAGAAAGAACTATTTGGTGCTTGATTTCCATCTTGATTTGATGTATAGCCCCGAGTTATGGGTGTGTGAAGGATTTTTTCATGTTGTCTAGTTGGGGAATGGAGTAGATTTCATGTTACAATATGAGTTCAGACTCAGGAAGATTAAGTGATTGCGTGATGTTAGGTTGAGGCGAAACATGTGGGTTATCTCCTGCGTGGTGTCCTGAGGGCGTGTGATCCCTATGCTGTTTTGTAGCGAGTCCTCTTTTACCAGTGAATTATATATGCTGCAGATTGAGTTTGGATTGTGTATGAGAGTTGTCTTAACTATTCGAGGGGGAATGTGAGATTTGCAGATAATTTGAAATACTAGATGGTTTGTGTTGCACGAGCTTATGAGGGATTTAGTTCAATCTTACTATGGTATTATGGCAGTAATAAAGTATGGGCATTGTGAGTTTTTGGGTGTTTTGGCCAATGGCTTTGAGCTAAGTGGGGGAGTCGGCTATTGATAAGTTGATTGTGTGGCTAAGTGTCATATTAGTTTCAGTTTGAGGTATGCCGGCGAATCAGTTATGGCTTATAGAAGTTGAGATCGGGGATGACTCGAGTAAGATAAATTTTTTGGATAGGGGTTATGTTATGCTTTATGGGTGTATAAGAATCATGGAATGACTTGAGTTGTTATTGGTGAAGGATTAATATACGCGGAGCAGGAATTTATTTGGTTGCATTAAGGTGGGGTTATTTCCTAGGATGTTGGAGTGCTAATGGAGCACATGTCGTTCGGTCCGTTTGATCAATTTATTTAAGGTTTGAGCGGAGTGGATGACTCCCGAGAATGGTTCTAATGGATCTAAGATGTATATGTAACAATTGGGGGACCTACAGGATGTGCATTTGGCTAGAAACTGAGGTTTACATTGGATGGTGTCTAGACTTGTGGCATTTCTATATCATTATGGTTTCTACATATCAGTAACAATAAGGTGAAGGTAACGACTTTAGATTCGCAGGAAATTTCTTCAGAGTAAGTATTCTGAATGTGGTGCTTTTGGGGATATTTATGAGAGTATTCAGCAGCTTATGAGCCTTAGACGGTGTGGTTTTATGCTTGGGTCTCGTGTGGTGAGTCTGGGTTGAGGACTGCGCTATCATGGTGAGGAGAAATATCAATTCGAAGGTAAATCAGAAGAAACTTGGGATAAATAGGACAACTTGGTAGTAGGTCGGATCGACATGATAAGAGATATGATTAGTTCTTTGGGTGCTTATGAGTTTCTACAGATGTCTCGTGGCAATGCTCTTGGGTTTTTGGTGACCTGCGTAGCTTGGATGATCTAAAAGGATTCAGTCCTGATGGTTTGGTTTTATGCAAATGGGATTCAGAGAGTTCTTGATTGTTTTCTACCACGGTTAGAGATGTATATTTTCTACTGGCATGAGGAGCATGTGATGTATAGTGATTTTCTTCTAGATGAGATTAAATGGAAAGTTTTTGGCTAGTTGTGTACGTAGTTGCTTGTAACTCGGAATGGATTACAAAGTCCTCATATTTGACATAGGATGGCATGGTATATGCGGTATATTGTGTAGGGTTGAGATTGCATGTGTAAGGTCACAGTTTAGTTCTGAAAGGAAGGTCATAAATTCTTAGGCAGCACGGGCAGTTTCAAATGATTAGGCAAATTATATTGCTAATTGGTGTGGTTTGAAGAGGGCATACATTTCAAAAAGCGCAATGTGATTGAGTTAATAATACATTATTGGTATTGCAGCACTCTCTTGTTTGATCGACTGCTGATATTCGAGTTTGCTTTGGTGGCATAGAAGAATTTTAGGAGTATCCCTTGTGGAATGATTGGGGTATTAGAGGTGTGTTATATATTCGAACGGTGGAATTGGGATCAAATATGGTGATTCGTGTGCTATATGGATACCAATTGATCCAATTCCATCCAAAACTTTTCTGAAACGAAGCTAACTATCCCCACAAGTCATAAAACCACAAATACACATTATGAAAACTTCAAAAGGAGAAACAAACTCAAATACACAAAACAACTGGTCAGGTGGTTACACTCATTTTTTTTTTACAAATAAGAGCTACCAATGTATGGTACTCCAATGTGAGTGATAACTTTACAATACACTATGGAGAACAACTATAGTGCATCGAGTTATTCTCCACCACAATCTCGCTGCCCCAATATATGCAACCCTAACTCTTCCCTCATCAGACATTGTAAAAAGATTCAAAGAGAATTTCGTATAGACTGATGAAGATGAAGGAAAATATAAAGGATGCTAAAAAACAAAGGCAAATTCGTTCAATCACTCAGGAAGGTAAGCAACTATAAGTGCCTTTGGCACCTGAAAAATATGGATACAAATAAGTGCTTTGCCATACAATTATTAGAGTTGTCACTCAAAAAGTCGGGATAAATGAACATATAGCCTAGGTAGTAAATGCGCTATGCGTATAACGCATATATTACATACGCTATAATAGTGAATTATCATGGCAGTGATTACATACAAAATAAAGTAACGGCCAAATACATATACAACCATTCAACTTGACACCATTTTCCATTTTAGCACTCTATCTCTACCTTGTTCCATTTTGGACCTACAACTCTATTTCTTATATTCCACTTTACACAAAAGCTGAAATTAGTGCAAAAAATATAGCACGTGTTTATACACAAATATGAGGTGTAATAAATATCCAATTAAATATTGCCACTTGGTTTTTTCACCCATGTCAAACGGGTCAATACTAAAATACCCGAATCCGATCATATTTTTTGTGGGTTTATTTCATCTAAACGGGCCAGGTATGAAATCGGCAGATGAAAGCTTTGAAACTTAGAGAATGAAGATGGGGCAACAATGGATGAAAAAATACGGTCGGGTTCGGATATTTTAGTATTGACCCGTTTGACATGGGTAAAAAAACCAAATGGCAATATTTAATTGGATATTTATTACACCTCAGATTTGTGTATACACACGTGCTATATTTTTTGCATTGATTTTAGCTTTTGTGTTAAAATGGAACATAAGAAATAGAGTTGAAGGGCCAAAATGAAACATATAAAATAGAATTGGAGGGGCAAAATGGAACAAAGTAAAAATAAAGTGCCAAAATAAAAAATGGTGCCAAGTTGAATGAGGTGTATATGTGTTTGGCCTAAAGTAACCTAATACATGCGCTACATATAAAATGATGCTCAATTTTTTTATGCACTATTTTGGTCTCTGAGTTCAAAAAGTTGCTACTTAGGTTCCGGACTCAAAAAAAGAAGAGAGGGACTAAAGTGCTATGGGATAGTGCTGTTTTATAGTGTAGCCTTCGTTTTTTTACTCTACAAGTTATCGTGTAGCTTTTGTTACCTATCAAGACTGGAAAACACATGCACTAGTGTACTAAATACGATGTCCTCGAAGACCTCGCAAGAAATTGAGCCACTTCTTTATTTTACTGTCTTTGATTCCCCTCCCTCAGTATCAGTAATCAGTGGACTAAGTGCTGAGCCAAGCAGCCGCTGACCCACAATCCAGAATCTGGCTGACCGGTCACCTACACAACCCGCTTCAAAATGCGTGCTTAATTTGTTCGTACTGAAAAATTGCATGATTCCCATTTTCTAATACAGAAATATGTATATTGATCTCTGTGTTGTTTCCTTCTTTGCTCATCATAGCCCAATTTACTAAGCTAGCTCACTTTCTACCAGAAAACCCTATTTATTCCTTCAAGAGAATCTGCTGCCTAATTTACCTTCTTTTGGCGCTTGACGCTTGTTGTGGGAAAAATTCAGGCAAGTAGATCTGACTCATATTACAATTCATATCCTTTCTCTGCTCTTTTTCTGTTGATTACAAAGATTTTAATTTGTAATTTACTGAAGAATTGCTATTAAACTGTGTAATTTTTGACTTTGCTATGAATGCATGTCTCTCTATTGATTTTGCATTTTTGATTTATTTGTTGTTTGGCTGCTGAAGAAAGCCGAGTAGGCGGACAATTCACCCAGCTTTGTCATTTTTATTTTACAAAGTAAAAATGTAGCTTCCACATGGTCGAGGTTTTTGCTTGTGAACGAAGAATGTTGTGGTGAAAAAGAAAAAGTAAAACTAGGAAGCACAAATAACCCTTTACTAAGCTGTCAAAATTTTTACTGTTGATTTGTAGGTCTTTGTATGGGTAACTGTAATGGAGAACTTTCAAAGTAAACCTAGTTTTTTCATCGTGCATGTGTAATATCTGTAATCGTTTTGCAAAATATTGCAATGCTGTCTAAAATTGCGATTTTACTGTTGATTTGTAGGTCTTTGTATGGGTAACTGTAATGGAGAACTTTCAAAGTAAACCTAGTTTTTTCATCGTGCATGTGTAATATCTGTAATCGTTTTGCAAAATATTGCAATGCTGTCTAAAATTGCGATTTTACTGTTGATTTTCAGGTCTTTATATTGCTGAGAACCTTCCAAGTAAAACTTGTTCTTTGAAGTAAATTTAGCTCGTTTTCATTGCGCATGTGCTTTGTATTTGCAAGATAAAACTATTGTATTTGAGATTACTTGCATTTAGCACATATATGATAGTAATTATGTTGCTGAAGAAGAGGAGGGTTGGATGAACATTATCGTGTAGGGTTAATCTTACCAGGATAAATTTTACATTTTCTTCTTCCATACAATTGTCGGCTTATTGACTGTCATGAGTTCTACAATTGTCAGCTTATTGGCTTTCATGAGTTCTACAATTGACGGCTTATTGGTTGTTCATGAGTTCTACAAAGTGTACCAAGATTATAGAAACATACATATTCTTTTTATATGGGAATTTCAAAAGTTTCTGATGGCAAATGCTTCATGTGGGAAATTTCCCGATAGAATTTAGCTTCTATATGCTTCATTTGTCAACTATTATTCATGTATCTGGCCTCACTGTCTCTCCTTTAACAAGTGCCAGGTCTGGAGGGTTAAGCAAGCTGAACTAACATGTGGTTCAACTACTTCTGTGCTGGTGTACTCTAAATGATGCTGGCTTTCACGGGCAGTTGATGAGTTTATCTGTTTTTTATTCTCCAGGTGCCGTTCTTGTGAGTTAAAAGGAGTTCTATGGATCATAGCTCCGGGGAAGACACTGATATAAGTGAATCAGAGATCGAAGAATATGAAGAAAAATCTTATGAAGATCTGAAGAGAGGAAATCACTCTCTTAAAATATCAGATGTGGCATACACTTGCCCCTATTGTCCAAAGAAAAGGAAGCGTGACTTTGGTTACAAGGAACTTGTGCAGCATGCAAGTGGGGTGGGAAGCGGTAATTCTAATAAGAGAACTGCAAGAGACAAGGCGAATCATCTTGCATTGGCAAAGTACTTGGAAAATGATGTAGTAGTTGCTGGTGATTCATCTAATGATTCATCTAAACCTGATGCCAAGCCGGATCCTCAAGCTGACCCTCTTGCGGATCATGACCGTGATGAGATGTTTGTCTGGCCTTGGATTGGGATTGTTGTGAATATTCTCACTGAATATAAGGATGGACGCTATGTAGGAGAAAGTGGTTCTAAGCTGAGGGATCAGTTGGCACGGAGAGGTTTCAATCCTACACGAGTACGTCCTCTATGGAATTATCAAGGCCATTCTGGAACTGCTCTTGTTGAATTCAACAAAGACTGGTCCGGATTTGGTAACGCAATGTCATTTGAGAAGGCTTATGAGGCTGACCATCATGGCAAGAGGGAATGGAAAGCCAACATTGGTAAAAAGTCTGATCTGTATGCTTGGATTGCTCGTGCAGATGACTATAAAGCTCTTAACATCGTCGGTGAAAATCTCCGCAAGGTTGGAGACCTTAGAACCATTTCTGATATCATGGAAGAAGAAGCTCGGAAGACGAATAAGCTCGTTTCTAATTTGACAAATGTTATTGAAGTCAAGAAGTTACACCTAAAGGAGATGGAGAACAAATTTAAGGAGACTGCACAGTCTTTGCAACAGTTGGTTGAAGAAAAAGATAAACTGCATCAAGCGTACAATGAAGGTTAGGGGTCTGTATATGCTATTAGAAACTCTAGTTATCACTAATGCTTCATGTCCTTATATTTGTTTTATGAGCAGAGATAAGAAAAATCCAGTCTAGTGCACGTGATCATTTTCAGAAGATATTTAATGATCATGAAAAGTTGAAATTGCAATTGGAATCTCAAAAGAAAGAGCTTGAGCTCCGAGGTAGAGAATTGGAGCAACGTGAGGCCAAAAATGAAAGTGATAGGAAGAAGCTGTCTGAGGAGCTTGAACAGGTATAGCTTTTCGTCCTTGCCAGTTACTTGTCTTACTGAACTTGTCCCATCTCATTTTTTATTTATTACCTGCAAAATTGAGGATCTGCTAGCAGAGGGATGCATCTCCTTCTGTAAGGGTTAAATTTCTGTAATGGTTCAAAACATTTATTGATGATCTCATGAATTCTTCAGTCTTCTAGTTTGTGATCACAGCAAGGTGTGAGAACTACTGCATATAGTTATGGTAGCTGTTTGGACATTCCAGTTTTGTGTTTCCAGCCTACTCTTTTATCAATTTTTCTCTGACGAAGTCTCTGCTTTTAGTTCTTTTCATTTTCTAATGCTCTGAAAAACTAGGTGGGCAGTGGTTGATCCATTATATACCATTCTATGACTCCACTTTCAGGTTTACTTTCAGTTTTTACTTGTGCCATTCGCATCAAATAGTTCTTTAGAAATAGTTTAAATGGATGTATATTGGAATATTTTCACGAAACAAGGAATCACATCTGCTACTTGAAGATTGTTAACATGAACTCTCATCATTGTTATTCCAGAATGCTGTTCTAAATACCTCACTTAGTGCCGCTGCTGAAGAGCAAAGAAAGGTCGATGAAAAAGTACTGAAATTGGCTGAAGAGCAGAAGGTGTGTGTATTTCTCAAATTGCTCTTAGAAGTTTAACTCTCCTCGTCTCCTATGTCAAGTTCATGTAACAAATATCACTTAGGTGTCGTCTTTCTGATTGCAGAGGCAAAAAGAAGATCTTCATAAAAGAATAATTCATCTGGAGAAACAACTTGATGCGAAACAAGCGGTAGAGCTGGAAATTGAGCAGTTGAGAGGGTCATTGAAGGTGATGAAGCATATTGAAGATGAAGGTGATCAAGAAGTATTGAAAAAAGTGGACACACTCCTTAAAAGTTTAAGAGAAAAGGAAGAAGAATATGAAGGTTTGGAAGCATTAAATCAAACTCTCATCGTGAAGGAAAGAAACAGTAACGATGAGCTGCAAGATGCTCGAAAAGAGTTGGTTAATGTAAGTCAATTAATTTAATTTTATACTTTAGTTTTGGCATAGCCTATTTGTGTTTTTAGGGCTTAGTTTCTAGTGAACCACTTGGTTTGGTTTTATACCGCGGCTTGATGGTTGGGCAGATTAATGTTTCATGTCTTTCTGATTGACGGGTTGAACATGGTTTCTCAGTCATTTTAGCATTGAAAAAAGATGACATTATTTAGAGTTCTACGAGAAGATAATACTACTTTGTTTATATTTTCTTGTTTTTCATTAAATTCATCTCCATGTCTCTCTTTTGTGTGGGGTGTTTGGATAATGGAGTAATTGAATTGCTCTATAGGGCTTGAAGGAACTACCAAGAGTTGGTCCAATTGGTGTTAAGAGGATGGGGGAGCTCGACAATAGACCATTCCATGAAGCAATGAAGAGAAAGTATAATGAGTCAGAAGCAGATGAAAGAGCTACGGAACTATGCTCATTGTGGGAGGAGTACCTTAGAGATCCTGGATGGCATCCCATTAAAGTTGTCACGGTTAACGGGAAACTTGAGGTATGCTTTCATTCATGGTGGAATCTTCATTTTTTTTGAACAAAGACAATGGAATCTATAGTTATTTCATGCCCGACATAAAAACAGGGTGGAAAAAATCATTACCTTGATTTTTTTTTTTAAATATTTTTTTTAAATTTCTGTTGCAAAGATTTTATGTGTAGGTCTGTAGAATATTTATTCTGTTGGGATTTGTTGGATTTACTGTTGTGGCAGATGGGTTTAGAAATTTTTGCCAGCAGGATAAAGCTTCATAAATACTATACCATCTCATTGCTCTTGGGATGAAATTCGTTAGTCTCTTTCTCTTACAACACATGACTTTTGATCATTTTTGTCGTTGCATAATACATTTTACTTTTGGACTACAAAGAGGAAAAAAGAAGTGCTCTAATAATCCATGCTTCAAAATACATTTCATTCTTCTTGGTGTACAAACTGAAAAGAAACAAGTATATTGTAGTTTTCCAGGAGAATTAGTAGTATTTCATAGCAAGTAGGCAATTGTTTACAGGAAAAAGCTAAAAATGTCAAGAAGTTCACTTTCAAGTTAAACTGCTGAAAGCCTATAAGAATGCAATTTTGAGGGCTATCTATATTGTGTTGTTTTAAATGAAAAAGGAAATTAGAAGCGTGTCTGATGGAAATGTCAAGAAGTTCACTTTTAAGTTAAAGGTCATACTTAGAAAAAGATTGAAAATTGAAGAAAGAACCTGCTAGTTTGATGCTGAAGTATAGTTACTTTGTACATTATCTTTTCACCAAGATAGAAACATACAACTAGATAACCAAAGGTTCTTTAGGAAACAGTAGCATCTAGCACACACTTTTCAGTTCTTCAAGAAACAAGTGAGGGCAAGGTTGGTAGGATACTGAAAACATAGCAAAAAACAGGGTTTTAAGTGCTCATTTAAACAAAGTTACTTGGTGCATCCTGGGATAGCTGGATTTGCCTATGTTGGTACATTATTATAATGCTGGAGCTTATTCAGTCCCTCTTTCAATTCACTAATACATTAATGACCAGTTCTATGAATATAAATCTCGATTTGGAGGCATTATGGAAGTGGATTCGGCCTTGGAAACATTCCGATGTGATCAATTTTTCGTAAGGGTATTAAATAGTTACAGGTAAACGATTTGCGTGGGACAGGGTAATCATGAAACCTTGGCCGATATATCTGGTGGCTCGTATTGTTTGTTGGCCATAACTTATGAATTAAGTTATTATGCCTTTGTTGCAATTTATTTGAAATTAGCGAAGTGTTTTCCGTTGTTTTTGTTTCAATCTGACTAGAATTTGACTTGCTGTTTTCCAATTCTCTATTGAGATTGAACAATTTGGGAAGTACTACTAGATATTGTTTACGTATGTTGCACTGCATAACTTGATGTTGGGCTTCTATGACATATTAGGATCCATCCAAATGTTGTTTCATCATGATATTGAAGCGAATGCATTTAGCTGAGTGCAAACAGTCTGCCACTACTGCTGTTCTAAACTGAATTTAAGGGGAAATCATACAATCTTTTGGAGAATTCTTAATCTTAGTTAAGTTAGCAATTTATAGAATTAGATTGAAATTTCCTTGAGTAGCTTAAATATCACTTGTATATCTTCCAAAGAGCTAAAAATCAGTACATTTGTTAACTTGTGTGCATGACATCTAAATTATGCACATCTAAATTATAATGGACCCAGCAATGGACGTACATAAAACTATGGTCTGGATGACTTTAGGAACACTCTAATTTAACGGTAAATCTAAAACATTTGACAATCTTGCATTGAAAAGAGAAAAATAAAATGTACTGTGGTGTTTGAGGCCAATTTAAAGGTCAAGTAGGAAAATGAAGCACATATTTACTACCCGTTGAACTTATCAAAAAAGTGTTTATAAGGATGTGAAGATATAAACAGTAATATGATTGTATTGTTTTTCATAAATTTGAAGTAAATTTCTGATTTACATATAGATAAAGTTCTAAAATATTAGACCACGCATGGATAGGATAGTATCAAGAACTTGTATAATTGAAATTTAAATTCTTGAGAAAGAAAGAAATTTTACACAAAAATAAAATTTAAGTGAAACAAAATAACGACTTCACATAGTGACATTTGAGAAATGAAAAGTTGAAGCTGAGCACCTCCGGTAAATGCAATTAACAACTAGCTTTGGTGAGTGTCTTTTTAATCTTTATTTTTTCCTATGCATAATGATGGTAAGAAATGCTTGATTTGTTTTGGATTTTCTTTGTTGTGAGTGATGGAGTCTGGTTTGTTGGTCTTAGTTGGATCTGTTGAATGGTTAGTACTGATAGATTCACATAAACTCTATGTTATATATGCTGGATTTCAGCTAGATACTTCTTGGTTGTTTTCCTTTGGTTTACTTTATTTGTAAAACAGAACACAGAATTTCTAGTTGCGGTTTTATATTGAGTTCTCCCTGCAATTTGTGGATTTTGATTTATTTAAATGCTGTTATTACCTCTTTCAGAATGTGATAGACGATGAAGATGAAAAACTGAAAGACTTGAAGAGAAACTATGGTGAGGACGTGTACAAAGCTGTTACAGCAGCTTTGATAGAGATAAATGATTACAACCCGAGTGGAAGATACATCATCTCGGAGCTCTGGAACTATGCAGTAAATCAGAAGGCTACTTTGGAGGAGGGAGTAACTGTGTTGCTAAACCTGTGGAAAAAGAAGAGATGACCAGACTGAGAGTTTGATGCTTCCGTGCGCTTTACCTTAGCTCTTTAGGCAGTCCTGGTAACCCCCGCGGGGG